AGGTTTCCCTGCACCCTGGTATCTTTGTTCCAATACCAGCAATTGTGGCTTTTCTCTGGGGTTCGCTAGGACCTTTGACTGTAGGGAGGCTATCTGGCCTCTACCATATACCTTCCTAGCAGGGGAACTGCTTCTCTCGGTGTGGCCCACAAACCCCTTGGACCTCACTCTCTGTTCCTGGGGATTTGCCCTTCCCACCAGGGCACCACCAGGTATTGAGCTGTGGAATTTGGGACTCTGGTTTCCCCTGTTTATAGAGTCCTAGTGGTATTGAAACCCTCTCATTTCTCCCTCTTTTGTTCAGTCACTTGTGGGTGTTTCTATTCTTTCTCCTTTTCTCCAGCTACTTTTGGAGGGAGTGCCTTTCCTGTACTCTCCCCCATTCTCTCTTCTCTCCACCAAAACAGCTCCCTACCCTCCGCGGTTTCTCTCACCTCCAGTTCACTGCTCTGCTCCATGTACCTGACGAATTCTGTGGCTCAAGTTATGCAGACTGTTGTGTTAATCTTCAGATCAATTTTCTAGGTGTGCAAAAATGGTTTGGGGTTGATCTAGCTGTATTTCAGGGACAAGAGAAGCAGAGGACTTCCGTGCTGTTCCGCCATCTTGGCCAACTCGCCTGGATTACAAAATTTCTCGCCTTGAAACATACAAAGCCAAAGGTGATGGTTCATAGTTTTGATGATTAAGCATACTCATAAATATCTATAATTGTTCTGTGTGAAACATTGATGTACTGAAGCTCTAATGAGATACATAAGCCTAAGGCTGTTAGACATGTCCCAAAAAGCTGTGCTTTTTGAATTCAGCTTAGTTTTTACAGTCCAAGTCTTTCAATATTAGGTTGACAAGTAGATTTCACCTATGTGCTTCTCTCCCCATGCTCTGAATCTTATCTACTACCTCTAGTTTGGCAGGAAACCAAATTATCAATGTTGGTTGGTTACTCAAAAATAAGATTAAATAAGCTTTATTTAAGCACCTTTGATTCCCAAATGAGCACACACTTTAATGCCTAAACTTCATGACATCTATTTTGGTTGCTTGGAACTTTATCCCCCATGCTTGATGTTTCAGTTATGTAAGATGGTACTGTGGATATACTCTTTAGGGGAATCTGGCTGGCTCAGACGGTAGAGCATGCGAATCTTGAAATCAGGGATGTTGAGTGAAGCCCCTTGTTGGACATTGGGCTTACTGTTTTTTTTTTTTTTTACTTTTTAAAACTCTGATGTGGTAGTGATTATTGCTGTGTATTTCTTTTCTTTCTTTCTTTTTTTAATGTTTTACTTATTTCCGAGAGAGAGAGAGAGAGAGAGAGAGAGAGAGAGACACTGTGAGCAGGGGAGGGTCAGAGAGAGGGAGACCCAGAATCTGAAACAGGCTCCAGGCTCTGAGCTGGCTGTCAGCACAGAGCCCGACACAGGGCTCAAACCTACGAACTGTGAGATCATGACCTGAGCCGAAGTCGGACGCTTAACCGACTCTGCCACCCAGGCGCCCACGTATTTCTGGCTTTTCAGCACGAGATAATTGCATTTGGTGCTGGGTGTCTATGTGACCAGTTCTGTGCAATGACTTTGATAGAAGTGTTACGTAGGATTTCTTAGTCAAGAACCTCATTATCAAAGCCCTTTTGGCCTTTTGTCACCACTAGCACTGTTCTAGAGACAAGATGCTCCATCTGCTTGGGTCCCTGTGATGCATATGAAGCTCAAGGAATAAATCTAAATTTTCAGGGTTGTTTCTGCTGCATTATTTTAGTCTATCTTGACTGACTTCAAAAAGTCTGCAAAAAAAGTACAAGGTTCAATCTCAATGAACTTTACAAAAATCACATGGTTTTTGCAAAGAACATGATGTTAAAAGGAAAATGAGTTCCATAGAGTTCAAGAACTCATAAAACCTTAAACAGACAGGCATATGTAGTCATAGCTGTGTGGTGTTGTATAGTCAGTCACATTTGAATCTCTGCATTCTATTTATCAGACAGTTACCTAACTGGAGGCTTATATCCATTATGTATAAAATCGGGAAAACAGGATTTTAAAATGATCAAGTTGTGAAAATTACTGGACAGTAAGATCCTTAATAAATGGTATTATTATCCTTAGTAGTAGCTATATTAATCGGCTAGTCTGGCAATATAGATCTAATTGTAGAGTTACTGTTAATCCCTCCATTCATAATTTAATGCACGTAACTGGCTTAATTCATTGAAGGCAAACATATTTTCCTTTGCTTTCCTTCCAAGATTCTGCTTAGGCTAGTTATATCAAACATAATGCAGAAACATTGTGTCAAGACACGTTTAAACCAGTCTTTAATTTCTAATTCAGGTATTATCTCTCTCTCTCTCTCTCACACACACACACACACTTATTCAAGGATATCAGGGAATGTACAGAATAAACATATATAGCACATCCTACTTCATGTATTCTTTGCAAAACATACTTCTAAAAGAACTTCATTGTCTACACATAAAAAGAATTACTTATGGCTGCACTCCACTTTGAAATTACATTGTCTTAAATACCCATAGAAAGTGTTCTCTTACGGAGGACATCCAGATGGCCAACAGACACATGAAACGATGCTCAGCATCCCTCCTCATCAGGGAAATACAAATCAAAACCACACTGAGATACACCTCACGCCAGTCAGGGTGGCGAAAATGAGCAAATCAGAGAACTCTAGATGCTGGCGAGGATGTGGAGAAACGGGCACCCTCCTACACTGTTGGTGGGAATGTAAACTGGTGCAGCCCCTCTGGAAAACAGTGTGGAGGTTCCTCAGGAAACTAACAGTAGAACTCCCCTAGGACCCAGCAATAGCACTGCTAGGAATTTACCCAAGGGATACAGGAGTGCTGAGGCATAGGAGCACATGGACCCCAATGTTCATAGCAGCACTCTCCACAATAGCTAAAACATGGAAAGAGCCTAAGTGTCCATCAACAGACAAATAGATCAAGAAGCTGTGGTTTATCTATACCATGGAATACTACATGGCAATGAGAAAGAAGGAAATCTGGCCATGTGTAGCAACATGGATGGACCTTGAGGGTGTTATGCTGAGCGAAGTAAGTCAGGCAGAGAAGGACAAATATCATATGTTTGCATGTATAGGAGGATTAGGAGGAACTTGACGGAGGAACAAGGGGGAGAAGAAGGGCGGAAATGGTGGGGGAAAGGGAGAGAGGCAAACCATGAGAGACTCTTGAATGCTGACAAAAACTGAGGACGGATGGATGTGGGGGGGAGTGGGGGACGGGCACGGAGGAGGGCACTTGTGGGGATGAGCACTGAGTGTTATGTGGAAACTAATTTGACAATAAACCATTTGTAAAAGACATTAAAATAAAAAAAAACAAACATTAAAAACAAAACAAAAAAAAAGAAAGTGTTCTCTTATGGAAAGGGCTGGGATATTCATTGGAGACCAAAATCTGGTGATACCATCTTTTATGTTCTCTGCTGTACTCTCAAATGCCTAGAACAGGAGGTATTTGACAGATAAATAGAATGGCATTTAAAAACAAATCCCAGAGATCAAGATTCTGAAGCCCAGTCGGGAAACCACAATATCATTTTGAAGTGCTCTGGGTAGAAGGGCGACATGACCAGATGTAATCACATACCTGGGCTGGATACTTCTAGGCCTAGAGCTGTGTGAAGGTGTGAGAATAAGAGTACTGTTCTAGAAAAGTGGGCATTAGGAGGAATAACAAATGAAGGTATACAGCACACAGCAAAATGACAAATCTTATTTCTCGGTTTTGCTTTCACCTAGAAGACTGCATGCTCTCTAATGATTCAGTAATCACATTACTTGTCAGCATTATGGTTCCTATAGATAGGCCTAGTCAACCAGTTACTATTTACATCATCCTATTGAGGGAAATTGTTATCCAAAACCAAGTAACCAAATTCCTGAACACCATCTTATCAGATGGTGTTCTGTAGGTCGTTTTATATTCAAGACCTCATTATTTCTTATTAGATATAAGGAATCTTCCAGAATGTTGTGTGGGTATTCCTATAATGGGTCATATTTACAAGACACAAAATATTTGGATAAAAAGCAAATTTCATCATTTGTATACTTACAGATGAGATTTATAAATTGACTTTAAGCACCATATATACATAATCCAATACTACAAACCAACAATGTTTCAAACTCAAGATGTTTCATTAACCATGATGCCACCTACCTTCTCTCAATAAACAAATGCTGTTGTACGGGCTATGTGATAAAGCAATGATCATTTAGTTATCAATTACACAAGATTATCTTCAAAGGTAGGCTGTGTTTAAAAAAGAAGAAAATGACCAAAAAAAAGCCAGGTTAAATAACTAACCCCAATCACAAAAGACCTAGGATATATAGAACTAAGGGTCCTCAGAGACCCTCTCATTCCTTTTGCCTGGGCTCTAAGTTTCAAGAATGGTGCTAAATTGGCATGAAGAGATGGAAGAAAAATCTTTAAAACACAACGTGGAGTAATAATCATCTTAGATTATTGAAAGAAATTTCTTCTAGGAAAAATTTTAGATTATTGAAAGAAATTTAACATTTATTAAGCCCTCATGTGCCAAATAGTTATGTTCAAATATCAAAACCTACAAAGGTATCTACTATTTGCAAATGATAAACCAGTTCAGAAGTTGCTCAAAACCAGTTATTAATTTTTGAAACTGAGCTTCAAATTAAGGCCTTCCTCTATGGTTTCTTAATACAGGATAGTACACTGGTTGGTGGTGTACTAAGCCTGTAAAAAGGAAAGTCTATAATGGAAAGTACTTTTGACATTCAGCAGTTCTCATGATCTTAACAAATTGTTTACTTGTAAAGAGCTTACTAAAATGTCAACTTCATTTAATCCTTCATTTGTTAAAGGTAAAAAAAGAGAGGACATACTTCAAATGGCACTAAGTGAAGCATAATTCATTTATATTATTTTCTACAAAATAAGTTAACTTTAAGCCAAACAATTTCAATGATGATAAATGCATTTCATTATTTATTTAGATGTTTAAGCTCTCGCACTAGATTTTTACAAGCTGGTGAACACTGACAAATTATTTCTCCCACAGAACTATAACCACACATTCCCAGACAGTATAAATATATGGTTGAACTAACATTAATACACATCACCATTTTATCAATTAAATAATAAAACAAATTATCAAGTATCCAAATATTAAGTTACACAGCTCAAAAGGCATATAAAATATTAGATGTCTGCTCAATTCATTAGCAGAAACCCACTTTTTTTTTTTTTTTTTTTGCAAGAGAGGTTGGGAAGAGAAGGAAAAAAAAATCACACTTCAAACAAAAATAAGTTGGTAAACAACTTCAGATAAGAAAAAAAAATACAAGAATTTCAGAAATTTTATGATTAAGAATTGTTTTAGCTACAATAACAAAGCATCTCTACCTTTTAAAAAAATATTTACTAAATTAAAGAGCATATTCTACATGTTCTGCACAAGACAAAGGCAACATTTTACTAAAATACTTAATAGCCCCCTCCCGTTCTTTTTTCAGGCCCTCCCTGTAAGTTGCACCCCAAAGTGCAAACATTAAAATTAACTGTAAGGCTTTTTTTGTCTGGAGACATTAAAGACATGTGCTTCTGTACAATGTAAATTTTCAAAATGGAGGTTTTCCATAACAGCACAAAATAAAATTTATAGAAAGACATGAAACAATCATTGTAAGACTTGGTAAAAATCCCCCCCTCCCCCCCGCCAAAAAAAGGTTGAGCAAACCTGATGTATATTGGTACAAACGTGGGAGATGTAAACATAAAGTGAGCAGGCAAATAACCATATAGGCCCTAATTTCTATGTTTGAAATGACTGAAGGAATAAACCACATAAGGTCCAGAGTGTTCATAGTTCCTGGGATTTTAGTTCCGTATAACACTAAAAATATACAAGTATTGTGCTGGGTATTTTGGCACCTAATCTTTCTAAATTTCTTATATATTGATAAGATTCTGGCATGGGAATAGATTTAAAGACAACTCAATACTGCATGATTTCAGAAAAGAAAGGTCAATTGGTACAAGTGATAAGCACATTTTAAATGCTGAACAGCAAGAATCTTTTGCTAAGTGTCCAAACAGGTTGATCGTAACCCAAGCGAACAGGTTGATCGTAACCCAAGCATAGAGGTTTTAATTCCATCAAACTTGTGGCCTGATAAAACTGCTTTCCAATACTCCTATGGAAGCTTCATTAGACTTATTCACTAAGCCAACATGTTGGCTAATATGCACGACAAATTAGGTCCTGATTCAAGTTCCACTTCCAAGGCAATGACATCAGGTACCCCAGTTTTATTGAATGCAACAGTTGTTTCTATGACCATTGGAGTCTTTGAAGCGCAGCCGCATTTTAGGACGATACTTCTCCAAATACAAAAGTTGCTTGCTGTTAAATGCTCCACGCCGCTTTCTAAATGGAGAAAAACAAAAGACGGAGCAACTAAAGCAAATTCCCTCTGTACTACCATTTACTATGTTACAGGCTATTATCTTTCTTGTGGCAATTCATCTTTTGATTATTATGCTGTGACTTAGTGTAGAAATATGGATAGGCATACATGTGTAAATGGAAAAATGATGGTAAAAAGTTCAAAAATCTTCAGTGTTAGTCAAAATTTATATATCCACTTATATGAGATCCAAGAAAAGACAAATTTACTGGGTTAGAATCTCTGTAATATGAGCATTTACATGAAATTAAAAAAAAAAAATTTCCTGGCTTTACCACTATCTTAAAAATGAACTTAATGGTTAGGTGGGCTGTGGGGAAAAACCTGTTTTCATAGTAATACAACTGAACTAATATAATGATGAAAAAATTCATTATATACTTACTGTCTTATGAACTGTACTGCATCTTCATATTTCATTCCACCTTCAATTAATGCTAGGGCAACAAGCACTGGAGCTCTGGTAAGGTAAGAGTTTTGGTAAATCACTTAAAAAAAAAATCAAATCCCAAAAAATTCAGTACTCCAAACATTCCTCAATCCAAAAGTTCTATTATTTACTACCCCTCCTATGTAATATCTTGTAGTAAATCTTGACTTCATGCTAAAAAATTAATTATCAGCATTTTCCTACCAAACCCAGATTTTTACCTAGGACCAAAAATGAAATATGCCCTAAATTGTTGCAAATAAGTCTAGAAATCAAGATTTGCATTACTGGAGGACAATTTTGAAAAAATTTAGGAGAGTAAAGCCTGACAAATGCAGATAATTTTCTTCTGAATTCCAGGCAGTGAAAAGTATCTTGCACTTTCTTCTGGAAATGTTTGCTTCCTTTTTTGTTTGTTTTATTATCAATGAGATTGTGACACAGTTGCATGCCAACCCCCCACCATTCCCAGGCCATCAGTGTTCATTTTACTTTTCTCTACTAGAACTTTTTTTTTGGTGGAGGGCATGGAGGGCAGTGGTGGTGATGTACAAATCTGGACATGAATATTTTGGTATTACTGGGTAAGGAGTTCTCAAAGAATCAGAATTCAGGAAAACAAACCCTATCAAAAGTACACCATATACAATGCAAACTACCTTAGAAAAGATTCATAATTCTTTTCCCCAATGAGTTTGGACAATGATTTCAATACTATTGATATAACCTACCACACATGATTAATTCTATAAGTAATTGTGCCCAGAGACAAGTGTAAATTACAACTACAGTTATCTGTTAGTTCCAGCTGTTCTGGATTACGTTATTGTTACATTCACCTACTTTTTTTTCCCAACAGTTTTTAAATGTTTATTTCTGAGAGACAGAGAGAGGGAGAGAGAGGGATAGAGCATGAGTTGGGAAGGGGCAGAGAGAGAGAGAGAGTGGAAGGCACAGAATCTGATGCAGGCTCCAGGCTCCGAGCTGTCAGCACAGAGCCCGATGCAGGGCTTGAACCCACAAACCGCATGATAACCTGAGATGAAGCTGGATACTCAACCGACTGAGCCATCCAACTGCCTGCACCTACATTTTAATATGTAACCTAACAAAGCAAATTGACTCAAAAAATGGTGAGTGAGTCTTTACTGGAGTCAAAATCAACTTTTTACTAGAATTAAGACCAATACCATCAAATGGATTTAAGAAATTCTCTTACCTGCCAAGGCCTGCAACACAATGAACAGCAATACAACAACCAGGTTCCTCACGAAACTTAATTTTTACAAGACTTAACCAGTCATCAACAATCTGGTTGGATGGTGGTGCACCATCATCAAAAGGCCAATCCTAAGTCAAAAGAATATTTAAACAGTTTAGATTTTTAAATAAAATACCAAACTAGTAATTCTAAGTTTCTAACACTCCAATGTCTTCAAAAGCATTTTAATATGCTTAAACAGGTGTCTTATGAAACCCCACTGTCAATGAAATGCAAATAAATGCTGAATCTTTATAAAGATCTCATTACTTCAAAACTTTACTTAGCTTTCATCTTTACTTAGAAATTAAGATACTGCACACTTTTGTATTAACTTAAAAAAATTAGGCTATTTGAAGTCAGTCATTTATTTTGTAGCACAGTATCATAAACACATAGGAACTATTAAACACTTACGAGAACATGGATGCCTTCTTTCTCTACAAGAGTAGTGTCATAAGTTGCTTCACATACTCTTACTATTGTGGTAACTCCATACTTCTTAAGTTCCTGGATAAAAGATACATAAAACACATTTTATAAGTCTTTATAACCATATTACTATTGGCTCACCAACTGTCCAACAGGTATTGCTAGTTAACAGAACTTCATTCATGGAATAAATGCACAACCTATGTATAATAGGGAAATGAAATCTTGTTTTAAGTGACAATACCAGAATAGCATGAAAAAGGATACCAGTCATGGTATCACTGGCTAGAGGAGATCTAGCACTACCAAGAGAGGATTAGAAGCAACTCAGGGATAAATAAATAAGATAAATAAAATACAACTCAAAGGAATCACTAATGACTACAAGTAATCTGACCTGACATGGTTACATTAACTCCTTAAACTTTTGCTCATCTGCAGTACATACTGTAACTTAGAACCTTAAACGTGTATTTAAGACTCTAGAATCCTGAAACTACAGTATAAAAAAACCAAAACCATTTAAAATTACAGGTTTTAAGACTTCTAATCCACTGTTACTAATTATAATTAGTAGCTAAAAATTGGCTTCTAAGCATCAATAGGGTCCAAGACATAAACTTAACTTTGGTTACGATATTAGTCATTAGGCTAAGCAGATATATGAACAATCACTAAGTGGTAACCTTCCTTCTATAAATTTCTTATAAGAAATTGTAAGGCATGAACAGCTAGATTATCTTATTATAAATCCAAGCTAATTCAAGTACATGTCCTTCTTGCGATGTATAAAATCACCTGAAGAAAAAAACCTGATATTTCATTTCTGGGAATTGAACTGTAGGCATATCAGCAAAATTTTTTTCTTTTTTTTAAACATTTACTTATTTTTGAGAGAGAGAGAGAGAGAGAAAGAGAGAGAGAGAGAGAGAGTGTGTGTAGAGGGAGAGGGAGGCACAGAATATGAAGCAAGCTCCAGGCTGTGAGTGGTCAGCACAGAGCCCGATACGGGGCTGGAACCCAACCAAGAACTGTGAGATCATGACCTGAAGTTGGACACTTAACCAAGTGAGCTATTCATGAGCTCTTCCAACAAAAATTTTCTAAACTAGTATTTTGTTAGATAAAAAGCCTCACCATTAAACTGTAATCAATATAAAAGTATCAAACCTTACCTCTATGAATTTGTTTAAGGTCGCATTGGTTGGATTGTGTGTAATGAGAAATCTCATGTTCTTGTATGTGACTTCCACAGGAGCTGGGCGGTTCATTCGAGCCATGTTAATTTTGTTAAAAAACACTCAATAAGGTTATGAAAGAATTTTAAAAATTGAATGCAGAATGATGCAAAGAAACTGAGTCTACTTCGATATACTCCACTTGATTCTCAGTGCTTTGAGTATGAAGTTGGGAGTAATGGGAAATGAAATGAACCTCCTAACAAGAAGCAGCAATTCTTCAATCCAGTAATACTGAGGCAATAGAAAGGAAGTGCACTGAGGTTTACCCCATCCAGGTCAGAACTCTTGTAAAATGCTCTGTGGATTTCAATTCAACACTTCTGTGTCCAGGTTAACCACTCTTATGGGGGCTTCTTGGTGGAGTAGTAATGAATTTCTACAGTTCACTTGTCTGCATAGAGGTCGTGCTGTGCCTGGCAGTAATCTCCACTGCCCTTCAGAAACTCCATAAATGTGTGACCAAGAACACCACAGAACTGCTGTTAAAAAGAAAAAAAGAGAGAGAGGAAAAAAGTTGTTTTCCAATTCAAAGGAACATGTTATGCTTTTACAGTATGTAAGTGCACAGCTATCTTCCAATACAGGCCCAAGCCACCTCTTCAATTTTTACTTAAACTACAAAAATACAGGTTGATTACAGATTAGAGCAATAACCATAAAACAAGCATTCACAAGTAGATTACTTTAAACTGAAATTACTGATCTAAAACCAAAATTCCTCAAAGAATACCACTGTAACCTTCGGTCAGAAACCCATACACATATTCTCCAATTAATTAATTATTCACTTTAAGTAGTTATTGGCTTTACACTGTTATAAGCTCTACCTACGAATAGCTTCCCATGTAGATTTTCCCAACTAATAAAATATTTTTACATATTGTAAACTTCATGAAAACTTTGGAAGCTGTGAATTCTTGCAAAATTTACTTACTCCTCTAAAGACTCAACCAACATGTTTTTTTTTAACTTTTATTTTGTGATCTTTACAACCAACACGGGGCTCGAACTTACAGCCCTAAGATCACAAGTCACATGTTCGGGGCGCCTGGGTGGCTCAGTCAGCTAGGCGTCTGACTTCGGCTCAGGTCATGATCTCACAGTTCCTGGGTTCGAGCCCCGCGTCAGGCTCTGTGCTGACAGCTAGCTCAGAGCCTGGAGCCTGTTTCAGATTCTGGGTCTCCCTCTCTCTCTGACCCTCCCCTCTTGTGCTCTCTCTCAGAAATAAATAAAAAACATTAAAAAATTTAAAAAGAAAAAAAGTTCAACCGACTGAGCCAGCCCAGCACTCCTCAACCAACATGTTCTTTCAGAGGAAAAACAGAAACTAGTTTTCCAATTCTTCCAGATACACTATTTCATTTGATCCTTAGCAATCTAATAATTTATACTTTGCTTTCAACAGATTTTCCTTATTTGAGTCTTTGAAAGTCAATCAATTTCTTATATGAAGTATCATAAAGATATATATTAAAAAAAAAAAGACTTGTGTTTGCATGTGCGCTTAGGAGTAAAGAAAGGAATAAGAAAAATTCATAGGTTAACAAGAGCACCAAGTGCCAGGCACTGCCCCAAATACTTTTTATGTATTTCCAAAGGGAAATTGGCAAATAAAAGAAAATCTTTTAATAATAAAAAGATTCCCTTAGACTTAAAGTTAAAAAGCTTAAAATTAAATTCAAACTATCTTCTATTTTCATTTTGCAACTTTAAATAGCATTTTGCACCATGCTAATTGTAGTCTCCAGAATATGCTACATTCTGAAAAATTCACATCTAGTGGATCATTGAAAACATCATGTCAAAAACCCAGTTTATTTTTTTCTGTCAAAATAAAGGAACTAGTCTCAGGAGTCATTTTTTATAAGGTTGTCCCAGAATAAAGAGGACTTTCATTATTCCAAATTTGTTTAAATGAGCCCTCAGAGGTTATTCCTTCGACTATTTGCTAGCTGGGTTAAAACATTAGTGATTCCCATTAAGGACTTTGCTCTGTTACAGCAAACACAGACTGCAGTAATCTGGAAAATCATTTCAATTATACGTTTACCTCAAATCCTAAGTATCATTTCCTTAGAATTAAAAAAAGTGAAATTCTGGCAGCTTTTCCATGACACACAAGGGATTTAAAAATTTTTGTAAAGTGTTAAGTGCAATGACTGGTGTAGCTCAGTATTCTGATTTTCAGATACTCTTATCAACTGAAAGCAAATATATGAGAAAGACAGTATTTCACATCACGATTTCCACGTTTAACAGCTAAAATTCTTGTTCCAGCTGAGTCTGGACACATCTCTTCATGTAAGCAAGTTTCATCAGGATGCAAAGAAAGCAATAGAAATAATTCACTTAGTGGAGCCATCCGGTGGCTGCGGGGGAACTTCCACCAAAAGAGCAGTGACCACAACTACCTAACACCTTTCCTCATTACCAATTTCCTTTCCACAGGAGAAACTGTCCACAATAGGCTGCTCAGAAATACCAAGGAATGTCTTCCTCCTCCCACCTAGCAGTATAAGCACAATAATATACACAGAGGGAAGAAAGCAATTTCTCTGCAGAAGCTTAAGTTGGTTTGTCAGGCTGCAGAATCAAAGCGATTAATCTGCATAACCACTTGGTCCAGTAGTTCGTCGGAAAGTTTGTTTCACATCTACTTACACCTTAGGTAATGCACCTAGTACAGAGCGTATGTGAAACGCTGCTCTACTCTTGAGAATGCTTTACTCTTTGGTTTTGAACTGATTTACTGCCATCAAACAAAATTCATATGAAAAGAGTAACAGGAAGTATTGCCTCAGAATCTGGATCCCAAGCAGGTCGACGGTTCCAGCTACAGTGCAAATAACAAGTTAATACTCTTGGAATAGTAGAAGGCTTCCACCGACAGAAGATAAACCTCAGAATTCTGGCTCTGGTTGCCTACTGTTGCCACAAGCCAAAAGCAGGCAACAACACATTACACCAAGGATTTCAGGAACAGTTCTAAATAGTCCCCGATTAAAAGGCGCCATCCAGGGCCCCAGAGATTGGCAGGGAAAGTGCATAGTGGTGCCCGGACGTGGACTCCTTCGCTTCAGTGCAACAGTAGTCCTGGCAGTTTCCAAGGCGCTCAGACCCAGACCATTTCTCCACCGACTTGTCCCAGAGAAAGGACAAGACTCGACTTGTTCCCATTATCCAGAGCCCGAAGTGGGGCGTTAAATCCGGAACAGCTCGAATTACCAGGTGGAGACCGAGAGCGCAGGGCGGGGCAGGGAATCGGTGTGCTCACCTAGCAGAGCCTCGCTCTAGCCCCCGTAAGGTTGCAGATCTGGGAAAGCCCCGAGGGCCGCAGCTGGGCACACGCGGCCGTGCGCGCCGGGGCCCGCCCGCGGCGCCCCTGTCCGCGCCGCAATCACGGGTTCGCGCCGCGCCTCCAGTCAGGCGCGGACGCCGAGGCCATTTTGTCTGAGGCGCCGGTCGGGCCGCGGAGCACAGGGGTGGCTGCACCAGGCTTCTGTCCCGCGCCGGCCCCCGAGCCCGGAGACCTCCCGGCCGAGACCGTTATCAGCCTCGCCGCCCGCCCCGCCTACCCCACGCCGGCCCGGGTCCCGTGGCGACCCCGCCGCCGCGCCCTCCCCGTATCCGGCTCCGCAGTGACACGCGCAGCCCTTGCCCCACCCCGGGCCACGTCTCCCGCTTCCCAGGCGGGCCGCTCTCTTTCGGCCAAACAAAGGGGCCTCGGGACGCCGCCGGGCCCCGGCCAGGCGCGCCAGACCGGAGGGCCAAGGGCGGAGGCGGCGGTCACAAAGCGGCTTTTGTGCCGCCCCGCCCGGCCCGCTGCGGTGGCCGAAAAACCGCCCCCGCCCGCCGCGCAGGCCCGGCCGCACCGCCCCCACCGCTCCCCGCTTGGCGGGGACAGGGAAGCCGGTGCCTCCGGCAGTCAACCGCCAACCCCGTGGATCCCAGCGTCCGCCGCCCCGCGGCCAGCCGCCCCGGCCGGCCACAGGGCCGTAGTCCGGTCCCCTCCTGCCGGCGACCCACCGGAACTGCGTGCCGGGGCGGTGGGGAGCGGACGCCGGGTTCCGAACAAAGGCGACGGTGGGGATGGGGGGGCCGACAGTGGAGCCCCGGCCCCCGAGGCGTCTGTGCGACGGATACTCACAGGAATATGTTTACTCATTGAAGATTGTGGCCTAATCATACAGCCGGTCCCGAGGCGGCGGCAACACAGGCGGCGGCGGTGGCGGCGGCTGCAGGGCAGGGGGTAGCGGTGGTCGTCGCGGGGCGGCGGCGGCTTTGCAGGCGGCGGCGGGGGCACTAGACTCTACCATGCAGTGAGCGGCTCCGAGAAGAGCGAGTAGCCCAGCCGGCCCGCAGTACAGAGAGCCAATACGCGCGCCGAGGCGCCCTTGCGTCACAGACCCTCTTTTTTATAGCCGGCGCGACGTGCGCACTCCAGGCCACCAATCGCCGCCCGGGGCCCCGGGCCGAGCGCCGACGAGCGGGGGCGGAGGCCCGCCCCTTGCAGACGTCACCGCGCGGCGGCCGCTGCCGGTGTGAACCGGTTGATGAATGGCGAAGTGCTGGAGTCGTAGCATCTCCAGGGCGGGGGAGGGAACGGGCAGTGGATGGACTAGGGGTGGACGAAGTCTACGGTGGGGTAGGGATGGGAGCGAGAGGAGGTTTCAATCGACTGTAAAGAATCACGCCGGAAGCCCTGGTTCTCGTAGTGAAAAGCGCCGCGGAGTGCGCACATGTCACATGGGGAGCTTTGAAGTTGCCTCAAACTTAACATGCAATCCCTTTAGGGCTGGAACCGTGTCTCAGTCCGACCCTACTTTCTTCTGCCATAAGTCAAACCACAGTCATCTTTGCCAGCGGTTTACCTTGGCACCTGCGCCACTATGATCTCCGTCATCAAATAATATTTATGTCGCACGGCAGCTGTACCCGGTGACTCAACACCTTGGATGCCACGGCCCTAGGCTCGGACAAGGTGAATACTTGTCGCCGGGGGCACTTTCAAGGAGGGAGAAATCTAGCAAACTTTTGCTACGGGAGACTGGGAGAGTACCTTGTGAGGCAGATAAAGCCCCATGCTTCCAAAGTCTTTTTTTGGTCACGCCTCCATACTACACACGCGGGCGACTGCAGTTGGCTCAGTTGTGGCATTTCGAAATCACATGCATCCTTTGTACTGCTGCTCACTTGATGTGTTGTCACAGATAATGAAAGGTTAGTCACTGCTAGAAGGAAGCGTTTTAAAAATTAAGAATCTTCGGTTATGTCAAGGACTGCTGTAATTCTTTGCGTCAAAGCTAAAGCTTACTTGCTTTTCTTTTTTTTTTTTTCGTTCATTTTCCGTTCTGTTCCTCTGTTTGCATGATTTAGGCCCTTAAGAAGTAAAGCCTAAAACTGTCCTGTGTTACACAAGGGCAACTTTGTCACTTAAAATCTGGAAACCCTTTCTTCTCTACTTTATGGAGGGACTAAGCAGGACTTTTACCTGCTTTGAAGAACTAGGTTTTCTACTAACACTGAGGCCCTTTGTTTGCTGTTTTCAGAGAGCAGTAGATTGGAAACGGCTTTAGGGATCAAATTGTGTTCTCGGTCAGTGTATTGCACCATTTTAGGATTTATTAGTACTTGTATTTAGAGACCGTGCTTCAGTAGTTATTCAACATTCTGGTAAACATATACTCTGTAAACAAAGTAAGTAAGCACTTTTGTAAAAGGAATTGGGTCAGGCTCTTACCAAAGCAAAAATAAAATCATCTTCATTTTAAAGAAATTCCTCACCTGGGAAACATTTGAATCCATCTAAATCAAGGAAAACTAAAAAGCTGAGAAATGTATAACGCCCTTTTACAAATAAACTGTAACAGGAGTAAATATTTTAAAGTGTTATGTAAACAAAAAGTATTAAAAAAATCTTGGGGTTGGAGGGACCTTCCTAAATAGGTCAGGGAACTCAAGTCACAAAGAAAAGGATTTTCATTATATAAAAATTAGAAACTTCTATATGGCAAAAACTTTTGATAAAGTTTAAATATTAATGCACACTAGGAGAAAATATTAACGATGTGTCATGGGCAGAATTAACTTCATAATAAATACAAAGCTTGACCAACATATACAATAATGTATTTGAAAAACATTCAATCAGCTATTCTCCAAAAGTTAGTCAACACAGTGATGCTAATTGGAATGGTGGAAGTTTTTCATATAATGACTTTTCAAAAAGTGAATTTGCTGGGACAAGATCTAAATTCAACAAATAGTAAGCAGAGACAAATCAGTGTTAGCCAGTTTTCTTGTAGAACTTGTGATACAAGTTGTGAGCCTTGTGATGCACACATCTTGTAATTACCGCAAGTAGTGCTGATGTGAAATATCCAGCCAGTTATGCTCATCAAGCTCTAAAAGCTGGGCTCAAACTCACAAATGGATTAATCAGCTTCTAGACATCCTAGCCTCTCAGAGGAGGTACCACCTTCTTCTACTTTGAAAAGGACATAGTTCAAGGATGAAAAACTAGAGAAAGCTTTTGCTGTTGAAAGGACACACTTTAAACAAGATATAAATATGGTCTTGCTCAGCGTAGTCATAGGCCTGTCACTCTGGCAGCTGTCATGTTTACAAGTGTCCTGTGTCATTGTGTTTCAGCGTTGTGCTGAGGGTGTCTGCTCTACTCAGCCCAATAGTTTAAAGGTGTTGACTCTCAGCATTTGTCAATCCCAACATTGGTCAGGACACTCCTGTGGTCTGAAGACTTACTAACCTCTGTTGCTTTGCATTTTTAGCATCGGCACCTGCACTTATTAGCAGATCTCCAGACTGAGCCACATGGCTAATAGTGGTCCAGACATCCAAAGGTAAGAAAACCCAGTGTTCAAAGCCAATGCTTATGCTAAGCTCTAGAAGAAGCCCTGAGATGGAAGACTTCTTCTGCCATTAAACAAGATGCCCAGCTGTAAGTTACTTTTCTCAGCAAAACATGTCCTTGAGCTCATCAAGGTAGGCAGCATTTTTTTTTATCAAATGCAAAATCTTCAAAATGCAAAATCCAACAGTTGGGTGATAAAAATGTCTATAAGACCATTATGAGGAAGATCTTTATGGAAGAGGAAATACTGCAGAAGGCAACACATCAGCAAATCCTGATGTTGACAGAGAAGTTGTTACAAGTGTGTCATAGTAAACATGGAATGATTCCAGTTACACCAGACATAAAAAAGAAATGGAGGATTTCATCCCTTTCAATCTCCTCAGGTTGATTGAGACAATACAATGGTGATTTCAGGCTGTGAGGAAGTCTGATTAAAAAACATTTTAATAAGGGCATCTGGCTGGCTCAGTAGGTAGAGCACGACTCTCAATCTCAAGGCCATGAGTTCAAGCCCCGTGTTGGGTAAAGTTTATTTAAAAATAAAACAAGACAAAAATCCTCCACATTTAATATAGTATGTATATTATGATTGCAATGATAGAAAGATCAAATGTGACAATACCAACCCAGAAACAAACACACACTAGGCTTCAAGATATAATAATGTGCTGGGTACACTTAGTAGAGGCAAATACTACAGTGGGTGTCTGGATACCAGTACAGAGGGCAATCTTAACTATATTCCCATACTTAAGAAGTGTCCTAAATTTCAGGGACACAACTATAATTACACCACTGTAAAAGTTTATTTTCCTTTTGCTGTTCTAGAAAAGCCTATTTTATTTTATATCTAAAATTAGTCTTCTTGTGTGATTGTAAAAATATGTTAAAAAATATAGAGTACACTTAAATTTCTGTGAACATACAATTGTCAGCATGAATGTTTACAACTGAGGCATGCTCTAAGTTTCTTCCTTTAAGACACTGATTTAAAGTTTTATCATTGTTTTTTATATTTATGTATTTTTGTGTATCTAGTTTATTGAGATATAATTGACATACAACATCATATTAATTTTAGGTGTCCAACCTAATGACTCAGTATTTATATATATTGTGAGATAATCCCCACAATAAATCTAGCTAACACCCATGACCATATATAGTTACAATTTTTTTTTGTGATGAGGATATCAAGTCTTTTTAATAAGTTTGATAATTAAAACCAAACAATAGTGCTACATCATTTCTGTGGGAATTTTCGACACAGTGATCCCCAACAAGCACTTAAGCTTGTCACAATAGGCTTTTCAAGGTCAAAGTCCATTGGTCAATAGCTGTACTTGGGCTTTTGTGTTTTGTGTATGTCAGACATAGAAACTATCAGTTAGCAACCTAGGTGGATGCTAAAGATGTAAATATCTTTAGATAATTGAATCCTGATGGATCAGAAATAAACATTTTATTAAGTCATCAAACCCAATCTTTAGAAGTAATATTTTCTCAGTAAAATTAAGGAGTTTTCAAACAACTTTAAAAAAATTGTCTGCTTTAAGAAATAATTCTCTTCAGTTAATCTCTATTACTGTCCTTTTACTTTTATTGTTTTTAAAAAATATTTATTTATTTTGAGAGAGAGAGAGAGCGAGAGTGCATGCACATAGGAGGGGCAGAGAGAGAGGGTGAGAGAGAATCCCAAGCAGGCTCTGTGCTGTCAGTTCAGAACCCAACATGGGGCTCAATCTCATGAACCTTGATATCATGACTTGAGCCAAAATCAAGAGTTGGATGGTTAACAGACTGAGCCCAGGAGCCCCTGTCCCTCTACTTTTCATAACAAAGTTTAATCAACTTAAGTACAAACCTGGAAGTTGCTTAGGTAAATTCAAATTGGATGAAAATGTGTTTTCACCTTAGAGATCTTGCCACTTAATGTAGTATTTACTTCTGTCGAGTTTCAGCAAGCAATGTGATGGACAGATCAGTCAAAAGAATATTTCCATTTGCATTTTGGAAAGAACTGTTTACTTGGGACACTGAATAAAGGACTTATTATGAACCTATAATTCATAGCATTTTCATAGCATGCCATTATTATGACTGATTCACATACTGTTACCTGGCAGAATTTAGTTTGAGAAAACTCTTCTTTTGCTGTTCTAAAGTCTGAATGAAAATCATTTGGGAATTGGAAATCAGGAGGGCCATAGTTTCCATAGAACTGTTTAGAACAAATTGAATTATGCCACAGTCTGGAGTGAGTAGAAAATTGCTTAGGAAAGGAGAATTTAATCTGGCCAGAGAAAGGGAATGGAGTATAAATAAATTTTAAAGGTTGGTTATGCATGCTATGGCAAAGCTGTCACTTGACAGGTTTAATTTACAGAGTTGGCATTTAGACTGCAGATAATCCAGACAGACACTGACCTAAGCAGCATTACTGGGGTAAGCCTTACATAAGGAGAAATGTTCTTGAACAGTTTCTGACAAACATAATAACATTTATTTAACTAAAAGCTACAGTAGTCATACTTATTTTTTTCCTACCCTTAACACAATTTTTTTTTTTAACAACCTGGCATGTTGGACAAACATTGCTATCTTAGTGCATTTCTCATTGGAAGATACTGAGTAAGAGTGAAGTAAATAAAATAAGTCAGCAGAGAAGAATGAGTATCATATGATTTCACTTATATGTGGAATCTAAAAAACAAATGATCAAGTAAACAAGCAGAAGCAGACCCATAAATACAAAGAACAAACTAGTGGTTGCCAGAGGGGAGGGGGTCTGAGGGTGGGCAAAATAGGTATCGGGGAATGGGAGGTATGGGCTTCCAGTTATGGAATGAATAAATCAAGGGAACAAGAGTTAAAGCATAGATAATATAGTCAGTGGTATTGTAATAGCATTGTTTGGTGAGTACAGCATAATGTATAGACTTGTACAGTCATTATGTTGTGCACCTGAAACTAATGCAACATTGTGTGTCAACTGTACTTCAATTTAGTATAGTAGCATTTCATGATTTTTTTCTATTTAAAGACAGTTGTCATTATTATATGACCCTTGAATCCTCATACATATTAATGTACATTGTAGACGCTGAACAAATATTTTTTTGGATATGTTCAGGTCACTTTTTCACCTAAAATCCTTTTGGGGCATCTCAGTTCTAGTGTTCCTAAATTTTCTTTGCAGGCACCTTTAATGATGGTGTTTGCTAGCGTTTTATCCTTGGGCCTCCAGGCCCCATTCTGCATGCTCCCTGGGGTCTTCATCTACCACAGCTTCGACTCTTGGTCTTCCCTCCCTCCTCAACACTTCAGGCACTCTGCTGTCTAATGAAGAGCAGTGTAAATGTTTTTGACTCCAACATAACTTATATACAGACAAAGAAAGAGAAAATAACAAGTGACTAAGCAAAGAATAGAAGTATAAGTTGTAATATGTGCTGTGAAGGAGGGAAGCAGAAGAGCAGGTGGGGTGGCTGACTTTAGACAGGGAAGTCCGACGGTATCTCCCAGGAGACCCAGACCTAAATGACAAGAATGAATCACGGTGAGGGGGAGAGGAGAAGAGATATTGCTGGTGGAGGAAATGACAAAATAAATAAGTGAGGTGGAAAAAGCTTGGTGGTGCTTGAAGAGGGAAAAGACCTGAGTAACTGCAGCACAATAAGGGAAGAAAGACAGGAGTCGGCCTGGAGATCTGGCAGAGACTAGATCACACCACCTGCTCTTCTGCTTCCCTCCTTCACAGCACATATTACAACTTATACTTCTATTCTTAGCTTAGTCACTTGTTATTTTCTCTTTCTTTGTCTGTATATAAGTTATGTTGGAGTCAAAAACATTTACACTGCTCTTCATTAGACAGCAGAGTGCCTGAAGTGTTGAGGAGGGAGGGAAGACCAAGAGTCGAAGCTGTGGTAGGTGAAGACCCCAAGGAGCATGCAGAATGGGGCCTGGAGGCCCAAGGATAAAACTCTAGCAAACACCATCATTAAAGGTGCCTGCAAAGAAAATTTAGAGACAAGATCACTTGGTCAGAATTTGGATTTTTATTTTTAGGACAATGAGAAACAGCTGTATAACAGGAACTGTATGTTTTAAGAACATAATTTTTCCTATTCGTGGAGCATGAATTGGAGGGAATCCTAGAATGGGAATTAGTGTCATGCGGTCAAACACTTGAGGTTACTGTCTTGCTAAATGGGGGGCAGTGATGGTGTTGACCATCACAGGACGGCAGAAGTGGACAAAAGTGGCTAGATCAGAGATACAGAAATAGAATTGAGAAGACTCGAATCAAAACATGCCCCATGGCTTCTAACATTTTTTGTTAATATCCCAACAAGGATATAGGTCCATTATTGTAAGTCTGTTTTATGCTATGATGCTGAATTGTGGAGGCTCACTGACCAAAGTTCCAAAATTCACACGATCGTTTTCGTTAGCACTATGTTTGTGAGGACATAGTAGAAGCTTATGAGAAATAAAGATACTCAAAATATGCTTGGAGAAGGGGACTATTTGTGAGGATTTTAAGGACCATAGTAGAATGGGAAATCCTAAAAATTGTATATTTAGGCTTTCAGAGAACAATCAAACAGTAAGAAAAGCTAAAATTTATTGTGCCCTTACTGCTTTCTAAGCTGTGCTCAATACATATTTGCATTTTAAAAATTGAACTTCTTAGAAAAATTGGACTCTGAGATAGAAATTTGTTAAAGGAACCAACCCATAGTAGGTGATAGCATTTGAGATGTATACATAATGAAACATCTGCATATTGACATATTCTTCAGATATTAAAAGTATCCTTTAATGACTTTAACTTGGAGAAAATGCTTACTTGGTAACATTAAATGAAAAGAAATAGAATACAAGTTGTATAAGTTGTATGATTAAACTATGTAAAAATACAAGTTAAAAATAGAAAAAAGAAAAAAATAGAAAAAAGATAAACTAAAACGTTCACCAAGCTATGGCTGACATTTAAGTGCTTTGCAGAGAGATGTGGTGAACAATTTTTGTTCTTTATAAATTTCTATATTTTCTAATTCCTTTCCAAAAAAGCTACTCTTATAAAGAGGGGAGATAGCAAATGAAGGCTTAAAGGGATTTAATCACATCCAATATTCTTAATATTTTCAGAATTACAGGGAATATTTTCAGAAAATAAGCGTCTAGAAAGTTATTTACAAAGAAGCAATTTGAAACATAATTGTACAATAACTATTCAGAAGTAGAAGTGGTATTGTCCAAGATAATGTTGTTCTGATAGGTCTGTAGCCTTGTCATCTCTGCAGCAGAAATGGAGGCTCCAGGTTATGCTGGTCATGCTAAGCTGACTCCAGCTGTCAAAACATCACAACCATTCTTGTTTTGAGTTCCCAGAAAATTAATCTCATTATAATTTGCTTTTAATGTAGATTTATTTGTCATCAGATGTGGGAATGTAATGTGCAACCAGTGAGAAGCTCCATGGGAACTTGAAATGAAAGGAAATATGGTTGCCTTCAGACAATTAAAACAGAAACACTACCATAATGAAGGTGATTATATACCATATTGTGGTCATAAACCAAAAGATGGCCTATAAATGTAGGTCTAACATTTGGAAACATCTAAAACTTGAGTCAAGGTGACTTGAATGTAATCTTAGGGAAGCTGTACTGGAATGTGTAAGCTAAAACGGAATCAATTTTTTTGTATCTGTCCAGGGGAAGATTGTGGGAACAGAAGGAAGATGATGACTAGATACTCAGAAGAGTAAAGTCTAATGATTTGAAGGTTGTCAGTTTTGTCCAGCTCTGTCTAGGGAAGAAACACCGAATCTGTACACTATAAGCATGCTGGTTATTGCAGAGATAAGTATTTTATAGGATCGTATTAATAACATCAACTGACATTTATTGGATGCTTACTATGCAACTGGGTACTGCATTAAGCACTGTTTCAATCCTTTTATAAATCTCTCTACATTGATATTATCTCCATTATAAAAATCAGGACACAGAGCCTCACAAAGTTTAAGGTCATGCAAGTATTATATGATGCAGTTGGGATTTAAATCCCAGTGGCTTGAATGCAAGAGTCCCTATCTCCACCACTCTGCCAAGCTGCTGTCCTTGTCTTGAAATATCCCTTTAAGGTTATTTACTTTTTTATAAACAAACTTTTATTTTTATTTATTTCTTAGTAATTTCTGTATCCAACATGGAGCAAGAACTCATGACTCTGAGATCAAGAGTTGCATGTTTTTCCAACTGAGCAAGCCAGGTGCCTCTCAACAAACTTTTAATTGTGACTTGGATTCCCACATACTCTAATTCCAGAAGGAATTATCCCATTGCAAATGAATTTGCATTCTGGGTTTATATGTCATCTTTGATGAATTTATTAAGAGTGAATCATAAAATATGATTATGTAGCAAATTACTAAAAACCCACATCTTGTTCTCATGAATATTTCAAGAGAAATTGTCCTCTAGGCCAGTGCTACTGCAGGTGTAGTTTGTGAACTGGTGCCAAGTATCGAGGAGATGACTAAAGAAATTAAGAGCAAGCATTTAAAAACTTTTATAGCAATTGATAGGCTAATTTTATGCCAATAAAATTTCATTTTTAAAATTAGATTTGTTTTTTTAAGTATTTAAACATTTTCATTTTCTAGTAATTGTTTTATTAAGAAACACTGCTGTAACAAATGAAAACTATGGAAATTAGTTATAGGGGCACCTGGGCTGCTCAGTTGGTTAAGTGACCAACTTCCGCTCAGGTCATGATCTCATGGTTCGTGGGTTTGAGTCCAGCATTGGGCTCCATGCTGACAGTGCTGAGTCTATTTGGGATTCTCTCTCCCTCTGTCTCTCTCTGCCCCTCCTCCACTTGCAGACTCTCTCTCTTTCTCAAAAATAAATAAACTTAAAAAAAAAAGAAGAAATAAGTTATTAAAAGCATTACTGTGAGTACTCTCTTTAGTCTTTTGTGAATGAGGCTACTCCATGATCTTTTACAATATTATTTATTCTTGGTTTTTCCATCCTGGGTTGCTGTCATCAGGAAGAAAGAAACTTTTTATATTGTGTCTCAGCTTCCTTCAGTAAGCTTTAAATAAGAACTATGATTGTGGTTTTACAAATATATGAACATATTTGTGTTGCTACATTAGTGTGCACCTGCCAGGACAATTTAGACTTACTGTAGCACACTTCCATAGAGTTCAAAAGGAAACAGAAAATGTTGTTTACAACAGATGATAGTGAGGAAAATTATGTCTACAACAAACGTACAGACCAATGATTATAATACTTGCCATTGCTATTTAAGCTTTTTTCCTTTTATTTAATATTCATTGTGTAAAGTAAATTCACTGTTTTGAAAGATGTGATGGATATGTTAACCAACTAAATTTAAATAAAAATTTAAAAAGGAAAAAAACCAGAAAAATACTTTGAGGATCCTTATAACATTTTCTGTAAATGCATTCTGAAATAGGAAGGTTGAGCCAGGTGTCATCTTGTGAATGCCTCTAAGAACTTCTGCAGATTTCTCCAGAATAGATAGACATTGGCCAGAACAATCTCCCAAGTCTCTTTTTACTAAGGGAGCAGCTCAAGAAAAATGGCCCCAAGAAGTCAAGGAATTGTTAAAGTTCACAGTTAAAAACTACAGCCAGGGGGCTCCTTAGTGGCTCAGTCAGTTAAGTGTCTGACTTGGGCTCAGGTCATGATCTCTCAGTTTGTGGGTTTGAGCTCCCATTGGGAGCTGACAGCTCAGAGCCTGGAGCCTACTTGGGATTCTATGTCTCCTTCTCTTTCTGACCCTCCGCCACTTGTGCCCTCTCTCTCTCTCTCAAAAATAAATAATAAACATTTAAAAAAAAAGAAACACAAGCTAGAGTCAGAAGATACTCAAAATTCCCATCTTAGGCCAAACCTTCTTATACTACAGCGTACTAGCTACATTCTACCAACCAAAAACTTCTAGTAATATTCTCTAGGCAACCACAAAAAATTAAAATAATAGTAGTGATGGAAACGGAATTCTGTTGAATAGCTTTATCTGCTATTGCTTCTCCACATAACTCCATTTGTCTCTGCTGTTTTACATGTGTCATCAGATCCTTTTAATTAGTTTGGAATGGCTTTGAAAGTTTGTTACAAGGGAGTTACAAGATATTTTTCTTCACTAGTGTTATTTGTAAATATGAATTGATTTTGATGAAATTGTACTAGTTAATTCCCCATTAATAGACATTGTGAATACTAACAACTCATGTCTCTTGTGTTCTTTCTACTAAGAAGAGGAACAAAGTGAGCAAAGTTATCTATCCTCTGCACTGCCATAGAGTCCTACTGCTTGAATACGTCCTGCTCAAAGCTAGTCATCCTACAATATTTATTTAGTACTTACTACATGCAGGCTTTGTGATAGACCCTTTATGAGCATTATCTGACAACCTACTTGCCAGATGAGGAAACTCATTCTTTATTTCCTTCTTGAAACTCTGCCTTCACCTACTTCTTTGGGGGCTTCTGAGATGGCTTGTCTCCCTCTACTTTGTGTTGGTTGGTATACTTAAGAATATTTATTTCTTCTCTGCCATTCTCTTACAGTTTACAGGCTCACAGCCATTTGGAGGACTTCTTTGGTCTCACCTTCCAAACATTCATCCAAATAACTCTAAAATGTGCTTCAGGAAAGACTTCTCTCTTGAGTTCCAGATCTCTTGCGTTCCAGATATATATTTCCATGTGATAAACCCCAGGTACCTCAGACTCAACATGGTCAAAGCTGAGTCAGTAATCTCTTTCCTTCCTTCATGAGAGCTGTTCATTTTGGTTTTAATACCAGTGAGCTGTGCGTGGGTGACTCAGTCAGTTAAGCATCTGACTCTTGGTTTCAGCTCAGGTCATGATCTTGTGGTTCATGGGATCCAGCCCTGCACTGAGCTGTGCTGACAGTGTAGAGCCTGCTTGGGATTCTCTTTCTCCTTCTCTCTCTCTGCCCTTCCCCCACTTGTTCTCTCTCTCTCTCTCTATCAAAATAAATAAACATAAAAAGAAATAATACCTCTGAATTGCACCTCTGCCTTTCAGGTTCCCGGGCCAAAAACCTGGCAGTCATATCAGACTCCTACCTTCTACCCCTTCTGTCTGATAAGCTACCAATTTCTATTGAGGCTACCTACTAAATATCTTGGAAATTGTTCCCCTCCTTCCACTTTTTACTGTCAGTCTCCATTCTTTCCTTCTCTCCTCCCTCAGTCCATCCCTTAATTCCTTTAACAGTATTTACTAAGTTATATTGAAATAGCTGATTCAATGACTTCTAGTCTTGTCTTCATCTAATCCATCCTGTATTTTTGCCATTCTCCCACTTAAAATCCACCAGTGGCCTTCCACTAAGTTTTGGAGAAAGTCTAAACATTTTAGCAAGACGTTCAAGACCCTCCAAATCATGCCTTTGCCTTACCAGCCCTACCTTCTGCTCTGCTGTTACTCTTCTAGCCTTGAAACCCATTGTGATTTCCAAAATATATGCTATGCTTTCTCAGGCCTCCATGGTCTGAGAAATTCCTTTTACCTGGAAAATTTTCTTTCCACTTCCCCTAAAACCTCAAAATTAATTCTTTTATGAAGTCTTTTTGCCCTAACCATCTACATGGATACTCCATTCCTTGTGCTTTCATAGTACATACCTCTATTGCAGCATTTATGGAATTATGATAATCATTTTTGTAAACTCCATCTGTCTCCTTCATATACTATGAAACTCTTCAAGGCAGAGGAGAGCTTGCACCTAACATAGTACTTGGGACATGGGAGGTATTTAATGAGCAACTAGTGTATTTTGTGCTATTATTTTTTGTGCTTGATTTAAGGATATTTGGAGAACAATACTAGTGTTTGGTAAGCACAGAAACCCTGAGAAATAGGATCTGGCAGGAGACAAAGAGATTAGAAGGTGAAATCAAGAAAGTGATGATATCAGGCTGGTTTATCTTGGATAGTATCACCCAAGAGGACAGATTGTTTACTGTCTTTTTATTTTTATTTTTTCTGTGTTTTGAAAACTTCTCCTAAAAGACTATAATTCACTTTTATATTAGTGTTTAGGATAATCTTACTTTTTACTCCTTGAAATGAATAATAAGACAAAAGAACTGACAGTATCAGTGACTCAGGAATAAATTATTGATCTGGTACAGATTCACCCAAAGTGATAGTGACATGCTGATCTCTTTGGCAGAGCCTTTGAACAGAGAATTCTAGACTTAACTTCCCCTCTAGCATCATCCTCCAATTTGTGCACTATAAGGCAGACAGAAACCATGCCTTGAGAAATTATTTAATATGGCACACCTAAAGCAAGTTTATTGTAATGTTTTTTAAGTTATCATATTGTATTAATGTGATTAAACTTTTAGATTAGCAAAAATGTGAAATGGAAGAGTAGACTAGCTTTTTGGAAATGTAAGGGAAACATTTCATTTGTCTTTATTTTGTTGGTTGTACTAAGAATGCTAATTAATATTAAAATTTAATTGGGCAGGTTGTGGCACATGTTCATTTGGCTGTTGGGTAATCTTTGCATACACTGAAATTGCTGATTGATCAGTGCTAAAGATGGCTATTTAAGAACACATTTTACAATGTTTTTATTTTTTAATTTTTAAAAATTAAAAAAAATTTAGCCACTCTGTTTTATTTTTTATTTATTTATTTATTTTTATTTATTTCTGAGAGAGAGAGAGAGACTGTGTGAGCAGGGGAGGGTCAGAGAGAGGGAGACACAGGATCTGAAGCAGGCTCCAGGCTCTGAGCTAGCTGTCAGCACAGAGCCATGAACCATGACC